GTTTTGAAAAACAACTATTGAAGTATAATTGACATGTAATAAACTGCACATAGATAGAAATGTACAATCTGGTAAGTTTAGAAATATGTATGTTCTCACAAAACCATCATCCCCCAGGGTTTTCTGGTACCCTTTTATAATTCTCTCCCACCTCTCCCCACACCCTTACAAACCCCCTAGATTTCACTCATCTGCTTTCTTTAATTATAGACTAGTTTGCATTTTCTGGAGTTTTATGTAAGTGGGATCATATGTTATGTACTCTTTTTTTGTCTGGCTTTCACTGTGCATAATTATTTTGAGCTTTATCCATGTTGTTGCAGTAATTCATTCCTTTTTATTGATGGGTGGGTAGTTTTCCATTGGTAGATAAAACAATTTTTCCATTCACCTGTTGGTGAACATATAGAATGTTTCCAGTTTTTAGCTATTGTACATAATGCTTCTTGGAATATTCATGTACAGAACTTTGTGTGGATGTATGCTTCCTTTTCTCTTGGGTAAATACCTAGGAGAGGAATGGCTAGATCATGTGGTAATTATATCTTTAAATTTTAAGAAACTGCCAAATGGTTTACCCATTGATTGTATCATTTTACATAGATTTGAGATCATTGATTTGAGATCTTTCTTTTCTAATATAAGCATTTAGAGCTATAACTTCTCCCTAAGTAATGCTTTACTAGAATTCTATAAATTCTGATTTGTTATGTATATGTATGTATGTGTGTGTGTATATGTATATGTATATACATATACACATGTTTATTTTTGAGAGACAGAGCGTGAGTGGGGGAAGGGGTAGAGAGAGAGAGGGAGGGAGACACAGAATCCAAAGCAGGCTTCAGGCTCCGAGTTGTCAGCACAGAGTCCAATATGGGGCTCTAGCTCATAAACCATTAGATCATGACCTGAGGTGAAGTCGGGCGTTTAACCAACAGAGCCACCCAGACGCCCTGTTATGTTTATATTTTTATTCGGTTTGCAGTACTTTTTAATTTCTCTTTGGTTTTGTTATTGACCATGGGTTATTCCCAGATATGCTGTTTAGTTTCCACATAGTTGAGGATTTCTCAGATATCTTTGTTAATGATTTCTAATTTAATTTCATTGGGGTTAGAGAACACAGTTTGTATGACTTAAATCCCTTTAAATTTATTGAGACTTGCTTTATGGCTCAGAATATGGTCTATCTTGGTAAATGTTGGCATGCACAGGAAAGAATGTGTATTCTCTTACATGGTAGGGTATTCTCTGAATTTCCATTAGGTCGTGGTAGTGATAGTGTTATTCAAGTCTTCCATATTCTTGAAGAATATATTAAGTACTGGGAGTGGGGTCTTAAAATTTGCAACTGTAATTGTAAAATTAGTCTCTTTCTCTTTGCAATTCTGTCAGTTTTTGCTTTGTGTATTTTGAAGCTCTCTTACATTAGGGATTCTTTTGTACTCTTGATGGATTGACCTCTTTTTCATATGAAGTGAAACAGCTTTCTTTGTCCCTGGTAATATTTATTGCTCTGTAATCTAATTTGTTTGATAGTAAAGAAGTCACTTTACCTTTCTTTTGACTAGTGTAAAACATGATATATCTTCCCCTCCCCCCTTTTATATTTGACATGTTTGTCTTTATGGTATGTTTTTTGTCATTGAGTTTTGCTCTTTTATCTGACAATTTTGCCTTTTAACTCACATGTTTGGACCATTTATATATGTGATATAAAGGTTTAAGTCTAATTTTGCTCTTTGTTTTCTACTTGTCCTATGTGTTCTTTGTTCCCTTTTTCCTCTTTATGTGACTTATTTTAATTAAAAAAAATTTTTTTTAATGTTTATTTTTGAGAGAGAGAGAGACAGAGACAGAGACAGAGACAGAGACCCAGCCTGAAAGGGGGAGGGGCAGAAAGAGAGGGAAACAGAATCCTTAGCAGGCAGGCTCCAGGCTCTGAGCTGTCAGCACAGAGCCCAGCGGGGGGCTTGAACTCACAAACTGCAAGATCATGACATGAGCTGAAGTCAGCAGCTTAACTGACTGAGCCACCCAGATGCCCCTTTATGTGTTTTATTTTAGATTACATATTTTTATGATTTTGTTTCATTTCTCTTGTTATAATTTTTTTGGTATTTTGTGGGGTTTTTTGTTTGTTTTTAGATTTGATAGTATACATTTTTAACTTCTCCAACTTCATTATGCCATTCCTGTATGGCATAAGAACTTTACAATAGTTTATTTACATTTATCCCCTCCAGTCTTTTATTGTTGTCATACATTTTACTTATCTTTGTCATAAACCTCTCATATATTGTTATTATTTTTGTTTAAATAATTATTTTACAGAGACTTATGTAATAAGAGAAAGTATTCTTCATTTACCCTTGTAGGCATCATTCTTTGAGTTAATCCATACTACAGTCTGGTATAATTTTCCTTCTGCCTGAAGGCTTTTCTTTAACATTCTTTCAACTCTGTCTGAAAGAGTTTTCATTTCAATTTGTTTTTGAAAGATACCTTCACTTGGTATAGAATTTTTGGTTGATAATTTAAAGTACTTTGGAAATGTTGCTGCTCTTTTCTTGCTTGGATTGTTTTTGATGAGAAATCTGCTGTCACACTGCTTTTTTTCTGTGTGCCTAAGTGTGTCTCTCTTTTATCCCCCCTGTGGCTGCTTTAACATTGTTCTCTTTATCACAAGTTTTGAGCAATTTGATTATGATGTCCCTGGGAATAGGGGTTTTTTTTTAATGTAGTTTTTTTTTTTTTTTGTGCTTGGGATTCCCTGAAATTTTTAGTTCTCTAAGCAGCTTTTCAGGTGTTTGGAAAATTTGGCCTTTGTTTCTTCTGTCTCCCATTTCTTTTGGGGACTCCAGTGGCCTAAGTAGTCAGGTTTAAGGTTATCCCATAGTTCTCTGATGCTCTTTTTATTTCTATTTGCCTTGAAGAACAATGCTCTTTTTATTCAAGGCCTGTGCGTTGGTCTAAACGATTTCGCTTCAGCAGTATCGTCTGATCCGTGAGTTCGAGGACCGCCGACTTATGCAGAGCTGGACCTGTCTCCGTTTCTCCTCTCCCTGCCCTCACCATCATGCTACTGCTCTTCTGTCCAAAATAAATAAACGTTGAAAAAAAAAAATTAAAAAAAAAAATTCTTTTTTTTCTGTATGTTTCATTTTGCATAGTTTTTAATGTTTATTTATTATATTAAAATTTTTTAATGTTTATTTATTTTTGAGAGAAACAGATACAGAATGCAAGTGGGTTAGGCAAGAGGTCAGAGGAGACACAGACATGAGCAGGCTCCAGGAGCTGTCAGCACAGAGGCCCGAGCCGCGGGCTGAACTCACGAAGGCCTGTAGACGGGCGATCTTCTGAGGCAATGTGGCGCAACTGACTGAGCCACCCAGGCACCCCTGTTTGTTTATTTTTGATAGAGACAGAGAATCCCAAGCAGGCTCTGCGCTGACAGTGCAGGGACATGGGCCCCAAACTCAGCAACTGTGAGATCATGACCTGAGTCGAGATCAAGAGTCGCCCAACTGACTGAGCCACCTAGGCCCCCCTAGTTTCTAATATTTTAAGTTCACTACTTTTTCCTTGGCAGTTTAATCTCCTGTGAATCCCATCTAGTGTTTTTTTTTTTTTTTTTTTTTTAATCTGAGACACCAGTGTTCAACTGTAGAAATTCAGTTCTGATCTATTTTATGTCTTACTTGTTTGTAACGTTTCAAACATATGGAATGCAGTTACAGTAATAACTTTTAATGTTCTTATCTGCTTTTCCTTACATCTGAGTCAGTTCTGGGTTTATTTTGATTGATAGCTATTTCTCCTAATTGTAGGTCTTATTTTTCTACATCTTGGCACGTCTGCTATCTTTGGTTACTAGATGCTATGAATTTTACTGTGTTGAGCATGGGATATTTTTGCATTCCTGTAACTAATTCTTGATGTTTGCCCTGGGGGAACATGGTTAAGTTGATTGGAAACTCTTTGCTCCTGTAGACTTTTGCTTTTAACATTGGTTCATTGGGCGTAGATCAACATTTAGTCTAGAGCTTATTATTTCCCAGTAATGACGTGAGACCTTTAATGCTCTCCCCGGTGCTTTCTGAGTTGAAGCTTTCCTCGTCTGGCTAGCGAGATCAGGCACTTTTCCCAGAAATGCTGGATGTCGCTCCTCTTTGGGATGGGACTTTCTCCGGCCACGGGCAGTTTCTTGCTAAATACTCAAGGGGAACTGTTTAGTTTTGTGCGCTTCTCTCACTGTGCAGCTTTCTTCTGTCTGGCTGTCTTTGAGCTTTGGAATCTTAGCTGTGTCTCCTTCACTGAGGAGTCAGTCCTTCAGGCTCGGCCTGCATCCCTTCCCCGTACCGCAGTGACCTTTCTTAGGGAAGTAAGCTGGGACAACTTTTTATGTGCCAGGAATCTAACCTTGGCTGGAAATTTCTCTGGTCTTCAGCGAGTCTAGGTTTGGCCCATGACCTTAGTCATAAACTAGTATTTGTTGTCTAATTCAGTAATTTCGCATTTATGTTGCAAAAAGAACACATGCTCATTGTTTTTATTCTTTGACTGCAGTTAAGCATGCCATTTCCTGTTTAGTTTCTTAGACTATCAGTAATTTATCACACCCAGCTGTGTAGAACTATGGCCTGATTGTAGTGTTTTAATTTTCTCTTGTTTGTTTCCTTTTTAGAATGAGTATGGGAATATTAGATAGTAAAGAATAGTTCACATAGTATTTATCTCATTCTTACTGGGACTTTGGTCAGTTATTATAACTGCCTGATTGTGGTATTGTGACATAGAGCCTTAAACTGGTGATTTTTGGTGGAATATTGAACCTTTGTTTTTTGTTTTGTTTATATTTTAAGGTTTTAGAATCATGATCTCTTGATGCTGAATATTTTGTTGAGGTCAATTAAAATCACATTTGAGTCTTGATGTTGTTAGTTGCAGTGTCCCTCTGTTTCATATGCTCTTAATCTGTCCTGTTCAAACAGAGGCGGTCTTGAAGATGATTCCATCCACATTTTGAGTGTTGATGAGAAGAACAAACTGGGAGCCAAGATTATCAAGGCAGAGATGATGGGAAATATGGTATGTCTTCTGTGGTGTTTCTAGGAGAATAGGAGTTAACTGTTTAACTTCTTACCAGTAATTTTGGAAGTTTCTTCACAATGTTGGCTGTAGCCAACTGCTGCTTATTGATTCTTTTAACAAAATTCTTGAACATTCCTAAATCCTGTACTGCCCACTTCTAAATAAATTGTCTACTTTTTCTGTCAGATCTGTGAAGTCTGAGATCCCAGGGTGTGACATGTTTTTTAAAATTTCTACTTTGCAATTCTAGCATAGCATATTTGAGGGAAATAAAGATGTCATTGTCTTCTTTCCCTTGTTTTGTCACATATTATTGAGAGCATGTATTGCTTTCTTCAATTCCTTTACTTAGGTACCTAACAAATGAGCTCCTAAAAAAAGATAGTTGTTTGTTTGATGCATTGTATAGATTAGCTCATTTAATTTCCATAATAATGTTATGCTGTAAGACTGATTGACCTGAGAACTGAATAGAAAATATGGGTGATTTGGTGTGAGCTACACCTATCTCTGTCTATTTATTATTGCTGTATTTTAGTATCACATTTCTGATATACTAATACATGTGACATCATACAGGGCAGAATAGCAAATCCAGACAGCTTTGCGTGGCATGACAGAATAGATTTCCTCCTGGTCATATGTATGTACTGATCTCAATACCAAATATAAGTGATCCCTAAGTAGGCTTCCGTTTTGTTGTACTGCCAGTATGACCCTGTTTGGTAGCATAAAAGTTGCCAAACAAGATGCTTCTATTTTTATTAGTTTGTGTGTCTGATAAAAGGTGTATCTTGCACATACTGCACTTTCTCATTGAATCTGGTCCTTGGTAACACTGAACTGCAGCTCAACCCTGAAGTTTGGTAAGAGAGACAACCCGCCAGGAAATAATAGCAAGAAAATAAAGTTTGAGTTTTGAAAGCACAAAGGAATTAGTTCACACTAGTGAAAGAGAGGCCACCAAGTTAGGAGGTTAATTTATGTTGAAAGAATTGTTCCTTTGGTCACGGAGCCACTGCAGTGGAGAACACTGTTCTTTGCCTGTTCATATGCTCCTCTTTGTTTATTGCTGCTTTACATGTCACTTGTTTTCTATACATTTCTATAAACTTCCTAGAGTAAAAATGAGATACGTTCAGAGTTCTTATAAAAATTACTTAACAATAAAGAAGGTAATATGTTCAATCTTATTATGGCTTTCTTGTTACAGTAATTGAAATTTTGGGTACTGGATGGTGATAATATCCGAGGAATTATAAAAATGTCATTCTTGAGGTTGTTTTCCCCATATCCCTGTCTCTCCCCTAGAATATATGTCCTTGTAATTGTTTACTCAAATCATAAACGAATGCTACGGGCATTTGAGACATATGTAACTGAGATGAATTCATTAAAAAGCAGTCCCCTGAATTTAGGTTTACTGCTGCATGAGTGTTCACTCTGCTCTTTTCCCTTCTGCCTATACATTTGAAGTATTCTTCACTGAGGAATTAAGCTATATATGACACTCATTGTTCTTGTCTTTCCCTCTGAAGGAATTAGCGGAACAACTTAAAGCTCAACTTGCAAAGGCAAATAAATTCAAAGAAACTGTAACACAGATGTCATCCAAAAACCCTGGGGTGGAGGTGAGTTAACGGAAGTTTGTTTGTATACTACTACTACTGGGCAGTGCTGATATTTTAATGCAGGGTGTTTCTATATCTGTGTTACTGTGTTTATACGTGCGTTTGCTTGTTTGTTTACTTGTTTTAAAAATGGATTTTCATATGTATTCTCTTATGCTCCACCAGTGCGTCCCAGGGGAAAAGAGAGAGACCCGGTTTTATTTTGGACTGTGCCATTTACTGACTGTTTGACTTCATAGAAATCACACTGTCCTTAAATTCTTCTCTTAAAGAGTGAGAGACTTAAATTTGGTGTGTTTCACATAAAACAAATTATTTTGTTCCAGGATTCGTTCCTTCATCTATTAGTGAGCAAAACAGATAGAAGCGGCTGCCTGCATGGAGTTTCATTTGGGTAGGGAGGAACAGTAAACAACAAAAGTAATAAATAGTGTAGCATGTTACAGACTGATACATCCTATGGCAGGCTAGAGGGGATCTTGAGTTCCCAGTGCTGGTGGCTTTGGGTGCACAGGCTAGTTATTATTGAAAAAGTGACCTTGATGCAGAGGCTTGCCGTGGAACAGCAGATCTGTGTATCTGAGTGAAGAGCACTTTGGGCATGAGGAGTGGAGGATGTAAGGTTCCAAAGATGGGAACATGTCTTATGTGTGGGAGGAACAGCATGGGGCCCAGTGTTGCCAGAGTGGAATGAATGAATGGAAGGGAGGCGGGTGGAATATCCAGGTTAGAGAGGCTGTGGGAGGCTAGACCATGTGAGGCTTGAAAGTCAGGGTCAGGGAGTGGGTTTTTATTCTGGGTGAGATGGCATTGGAGGGTTTTCTGTAGAAGATATATTTTGATGAGACTGTCCTGGCTTCCTTGCTAAGGGTGCATTGAAGGGTCATAAGGGCAGAAGCTAAGGAGATGGTTAGAAGTGGTTAGGTTTTTATATGCATAAATATTTCCTGTGTATTTTATGAAAGGAGAGCAGACAGGACTTTTTTGATGGTTTGGATGGGTTGGGGGATGTAGGAGATATGGAGGGGAGGCAAAGTCACTTCAAAGTTTTTAGGCTGAGCAGCTGGAAGAATACAGCAGCCATTCTTGGGAGTGTAGAAACAGGAGGAGTGTATTTGGGGGTGGAGGGTTCAAGTTCTTTTGTAGATATGTGGCGTTTGGGTATCTTTTAGATTTGGGTCTGGAGGAGATGCCAGGTAGGGAGGGGGATGTTGAGAATTTAGGGAAGCCTGAGCTGGAGGTGGAAACTGGGGAGCTCTTAACATAGAGACAGTATTTAAATCCTGATGCTGCTTGAAATCAGCCCAGGAGTAAAGGTAGATAGAAAAAGTTAAAGGGCTGAATTGGGTATATTACAGTGTTGAGAAGATTATAATTAGGTTTATAAGTGATTTTAAAGAACTGTTGTCAAAGATTAACTTATGTCATTTTAATGTCAGTGTGTGAGATGAGAATGTACAAAGTCAAGTTCCATAGAATTGTCTTCAAGCTAACATTATTGATGATTTAGATTATAGTATATAGAGAGAGTATGTTTGTGAAATTGGCTGTTTTTACTACTATGTGCCAGCTCATGTTTTAAAAGATATTTTTAAATATTTATTTATTTATTTTTGAGAAAGAGAGAACTTGCCAGGGAGGGGCAGAGAGAGAGGGAGAGAGAAATCCCAAGCAGGCTCCACACTGTCAGCGCAGAGCCCGATGCGGGACTGGAACTCATGAACCATGAGGTCATGACCTGAGCTGAAACCAAGAGTCAGACACTTAACCAACGAAGCCACCCAGGTGCCTCGCTAGCTCATGTTTTAAAAAAGTGGTTAAGTTAGAATTCCTTACACAGATTAGGGAGGTTGACCTCTCACGTGGTTTCTTTGTGCCAACCATATTATGTACTGATCTTCCCACAGTGTGGCCTTCCACAGAATAACCCCGTTTTCCAGCCTCACCTCCAAGGCTCTCTCATCCATAACATGCGTGTCTCTTTGACATTTACATGTGCTCTTAATTATCCATGCCAGATACTACCCTCTTGAGTGGTGTCCACTTTTCACTTTGTCTTTACCTCCTTCTTGAAGTGTTTTTTCTCAGCCTCTCAAAAAGTTGTAACCTATTCTTGTTTTGAAACTTTAAAGACGCTTAAAGTATTCTTTGTGGAATCTATCTTTTGAAATGGTATATATTTGTATTCTTGTCATCACCCTGTAATCCACGCGTTTCTTTCCTGACACTTATCACTTTATATGAAAGGGTTCTAACTCTGTGGCTGGACTTCGGGGATTCTTGAAATTGAAAGCAATTCAACTGAAAAAATTGAAGCAGATCTTCTTTGGAATAACGTTTTTTCCTGCTGTTTTAAGCATATCATACAGTGACTGACAGACTATATCTCATTCCTTGAGCACACACTTTATAATATTACTGATGTCCGTGATTTTTAGCTCCTCCTAGCTTTTGAACAGTGGCCCTCATAACCCAGTGGAATAGGATTCAAAGTTGTATTCAGAGTTGTACACAAAGTTGTATTTCCACTTCTAAACTCTTTTGAATCCCAAGCTATATGAATAGCCTTGAAGCTTCATATAGAAAGATTTTTATTCCAAGGATTCTTTGAACACAGAGAAAAAGGTTCATCTTCTCTGCAGAGATGATTGACTTTTGATTTTGTTCAAGCTTTACCCAGCGTACGTGTGGAACAGACTTTTGCCCATAGCTCTACAGGGATTCGCTGCTGCCAGTAGTCAGTGCATTCTCTCAGGGCCGGGGCCTTGACTTCTCTGCCCTGTTTCAGAGTAGTTTTGTTAGGAATGACAGTAGAATGCAAAGTTGTTTACTACCTCACAGGAATTTCCTGACTTTTTAGAGGAAAATCCTGAAACGCTTCTGATAAAAATTTTGCTTTTTGAGAGAAAAGAAAATTCCATTCATAGAACAGTTGAACAGGGAAGAAAACTTTTCTTTTCTTTTTTCTTTTCTCTTCTTTTGTTTTCTCTTTTCTTTCTTTTCTTTCCTTCTTTTTCTTTCTTTCTTTCTTTCTTTCTTTCTTTCTTTCTTTCTTTCTTTCTTTCTTTCTTTCTTTCTTTCTCTTTCTTAAGGATAGGGAGAGAATAAACACAGCATGCATGAGCAAGAGAGGGGCAGAGAGAGGGAGAGAGAGAGAATCCCAAGCAGGATCCAAGATCTGTTCTGTCAGCACAAAGCCCGATGTAGGGCTCAATCTCACGAACTCTGAGATCATGACCTGAACTGAAATCAAGAGTTGGATGTTCAAATGACTGAGTCACCCAGGAGCCCCAGGAGGAAAGCTTTCATTGCATGGTTTATTTGTTAGAAATGTTAGGCTGTGTGAACAAGGTGAATATCTTGATTCAACAATCTATGAATATTATTTTGCCTTTAGTGAAAAACCATCAACACTTGTAATTATTAGTGTGCTTATTTCTCTTCCCTGTTAGAGGGTGAACTATTCATTATTTAGGACAAGGACTGTTTCATTTCATATCTAGTGCCTTGGGTAGTACATGGCTGTAGACAGCCAAGAAGTGCTTGAAATATTTGTTATATGAATGTCTTTGATTTATTTTATCACTTAGAGTTTTCTGTTGTAAATCTTGAAAATGATCCATGAACTTCAAAATTCTCTGGTCTGGCCTTCCTCTGAGTATAGCTGCCTTAGTGAGACAGTAACCCAGCTGCACAGTATCTCCATGTAACTTATGCTTTACACTAAGTGATGGATTTTGGAAGACCACCAGTTCTCTATCAGGACAGATTGAATGCTAATTTTTTAATATAATAGATCCTAATCTGCCTTTCTAGAACTTCTACCTGTTAATAATCCTTCAGTGGAATCACATCATGGACACATTTAATCTAAGGGAATTCAGCTTTCCAGGTTTTTTTTTTTTTTTTTTTTTTTACACAGTAGTTCACGAAATTCAGCTCCCCATTTATGACACATAATGAAATCGTCATTGTGTGATGGTGCAGTGACTTTACAGTTTTATAGTTTGTTTACACAACTGGCAAAAAAGAGAAATACATTGTAATAGTCCCTGGGCAGCTGTGTGGGGAGGGTTTCATAGACATTCTCTTGACAGAAATTGAGGAATTAATGGAAGGCCTAAGAGGGCCGTCGAGAAACATTAAGTAATAAATAATTGAAGAAACCAATAAATTCATCTGTGGCATTTTGTACATAAAGTCAGGCATGTGACTGGTGATTTAAAATATTTCCAAGAGTAGTTTGGCTATAGTTGGCCTTAACACTGTCTTTTGACTCTGATTCTTTAGTATGTTGTGAGTCTGCTATTATTACAACTGCTGGGATTCCTAGAATGTGTGTGTGTGTGTGTGTGTGTGTGTGTGTGTGTGTGTTCACACCTAGACTGTGTTTCTGTGTATTGGCATCCCAGTCTTTGCACCTGATCCTCACAGGCATAGTTAAAAAAATTAATTTCAGGATTAAAATAAGTATTTTGCCTTTCTTTCTTTCTTTCTTTCTTTCTTTCTTTCTTTCTTTCTTTCTAAGAGCAAGTACTTTAGTTGATTTTTTTCAGATTTTGACATGTAACAGATAAGAAAACATAGGGAATATTTTACTAGCAGTGTTAACAAGTGTGATTTAAAATATCTGCATAAAACTTCATTCCCAAAACATGGCATCAACCCTTGTTCCAAATACCCATGGAATATTTACAAAAATTAATTTTACTTAGGCAAAATGTTGATAAAGCCCCAAAGTAGAAGGTTTATAACTAAGCTTTTATTTTCTAACCACAATGCAATAAAGTTGGGATTTAACAACTATGTATTTTTTCCTTAAATAGATAAAAATTTCAAAACCTCATTTTAAACTTCTGGGTTTTTCCATTTCTTTATGTCTTCTTCAATTTCCTTCATAAGCTTTCTATAGTTTTCAGCATACTTTTACATCTTTGGTTAGGTTTATTCCTAGGTATTTTATGCTTCTTGGTGCAGTTGTGAATGGGATCAGTTTCTTT